CTATCCATCCACGACTGAAAGAAGAGGCAGTGAGGCAACACGTCAGAATGTTCTTCCAAGTAATGCTTTTATGCACTGTTATAATGGGAAAATGTGTGCATTTTTGGAAAATATTTCCATGTGAGAATGTCCACAGGGTGGCGCTAGAAGCACTATGACTTTTAATACTTTTTGAACATGACAGTTAAAGGGAAAGTTCACCCCCCAAAAATTTACTTTCTGTCAATTACTAACCCTCATGTCATTACAAACCTGTATGACTTTCTTTCTTCTGTGGAGCATAAAAGAAGATATTCTGAGAAATGTTCTAACATTGGGAAAAACTGGTAACCAAAACTGTTTGAATAGAATGTTCATTTTTTAGCGCCGTAAATATCACACTGATTCTCATGCAAACCTATTGTATGTTCTCATAACACTTATATTGTGCATAGTTTATCTTGAAAACAGCAGCTTGAGCATTATAAAAGTTTTTACTTTCATGTCAGTTCTACGATTTTGTTAATCACCTAATATAAAATGTCATTTAGCTCTAATCAATCAAAGGCAATGGCAAGAAACACTCAAACTGCATTATGAGTTACTTAAATACTTTCATTTGGTAATTTTGGATTCAAATTGTAATTTAAAATCAAGGTTAAGGATTAGCGGTAATTTAAAAAACAACAACAACAACAATAGAACATTATATATTTTGGCGCCACCCAGTGGACATTTAATCTGGAAACTGAGACATAAAGTAGCAACAATTAAATCTGTTAATTATGCACATTTTTAATTAGATCAGGCCGGTTATGCATCAGACATATTAATTAAAATCGCTATCAAAAGTCAGTTTCATTATGCATTGCTAGATTACGCCTCACGATACATTAGAAACCATTTTAATCACCTTTTTTTTCTCCCCTAAGAAAATGGACATGAACCAGGACGGTGTAGTAACTATTGATGAATTCATTGACTGCTGCCAAAAAGTAAGGCTTGCTTTATCTTTATCGAAACCTAAAGCGGACATGCATAATAACACAGCTGTTGGTGCTTTTGTTTTGCAGGATGAGAATATAATGCAGTCTCTTAAGATTTTTGACAATGCTGTTTAGATGTTAGTCAGCACTTGGATGATTCTCACCGGATAACGCCAGCTTTCCTGCGCTGCTGCTCTGGACTGCTCCAGACTGTCTTTTGTGAACTGACCGCTGAATGTAGAACCTCGTTAGACGTTTGGGGCCGTTGTGTGATGCAAATGTAAGTGCAGTGGTAAAACAGCAACACATCATCAGTGTTACTGTATTCTAATTCTCATTTTTAGCACTGACCAGCTGTTTCTTACTCACTGTATCACACAGTTTATGTTTCACAGTTCAACCCTAAACACTCTTGGTTTACTTGGGTAGCTTTTTAGTATTTAATCCAATAGATAAATCATTTATGGTGGACTAGGATTATTTCTCAAGGTCACGCTAGAACCATGTTACTCAAGTGGACACCTGCTTTTTACACCTACACCAGATTTTTCAGCCAAAAACTTGTGATAAAGTATCATCTTTTTTGTTTGATTTGTATCATATATGATACAAAAGTGGTCTTTTAATTACATTTTATTTAGTAATGTATTCATTCAACACAACCAGCAACCGGTCTGTAATACTCGACAGTGGTGGGGAGACACTTTTTCTTTTTTTGGGGAAAAAACCCACAGTGTAGACACATTTTTGACATTTAAAAAAACTAAAAAAGTGAAAATAAATATTACATATGTATAAAAAAAGAAAAAGGGGTCTATCAAGATTTCAAAAGCTGCCGGAAGTAAGAATCTAGTTTGTATTTGACCATTTTAGGTCATTTTGATTGACCTAAAAATGTTGGTTATATATCAGAAAAATGAAAAATGTGCATGATGCACAGACACGCACAATGTTTTTCCACTAAAGCTGCTCTAATAATGCACAACGATGATACAATTTAGCTTCTTTCCACAACCCTCAAATATCATTTTGGTGCTATTTTCTGTTCTCTAAATGCATTATTTCTTTCAGTGTCTTTCCTTATTGTTTATATCCTTCAGCTAGCCGTTATCTGAAGATCAGATGCCACACATGACATTTCAGTAGTTAGAGAAAACTGTATAACTCTAGATTAGGATGTACAGTATGCTTGGACAATAGATGCAATAATAGGTCAATAATGAACATTTATTAATGCTAATTAGTGATTATATTGAATTCTGAATATATGTTTAACTAAATGACAGGTTAAATGTATTCTGCTGTTTTGTAGATTTTTTATGTCAATAATGTGGTAAGGGAATTAGGTCTTGAAAAAGCTCAATAATAAATATCAATTGGTATGAATATTTATTACCAAAAAGAGAAGAGATGCCTCCTCTCTCTCTCTCTCTCTGTAATTTTATGTGACTTTGTCGATATTTGAACAATGTAACTCTTGTCTCAGAGGAATTATAGTGGTCATTTGTAAAATGTAACTTTTAATACGGTTTATTATTGTTCATTGTAAGTGTTATAATGAAATAATAAATGCCATCTGCCTTGATTTAAGCAAATGTATAACATTTCTGTCAGACACAATTTCTTCTTTAAATTCAGCTCAGTTTTAGAAAGATTAGTCAGACTACAACACTGATTAAACCTCAGAAATCCATGTGACAGTTACTATATGATATGAAATGTATATTCCAACAATAAGAAGCAAGTATTAAAATATGAAGTAGTATAGAGAAAATGCATTCTCTTCTGCTCATCCAGGGTTGCATTTATTTGATCCAAAATACAGTAAAAACAGCAATATTCTGAAATATTATTTCAATTTCAAACAGCTGGTTTCTATGTGAATATCTATTAAACTGTAATTTATTTCTGTGATCAAAGCTGTATTTTCAGCATCATTACTCCAGAAAGTTTGTAATCTTTAGTAACATTCTAAATGTCTTTACTGTCACTTTTGATCAATTTAATGCATCCTTGTTGAATAAAAGTATTAATTTCTTTCCAAATAAATAAATGAACAAACAGATAAATATCTTACTGACTCCATACAGAAGCAAGTATTAAAATATGAAGTAGTATAGAGAAAATGCATTCTCTTCTGCTCATCCAGGGTTGCATTTATTTGATCCAAAATACAGTAAAAACAGCAATATTCTGAAATATTATTTCAATTTCAAACAGCTGGTTTCTATGTGAATATCTATTAAACTGTAATTTATTTCTGTGATCAAAGCTGTATTTTCAGCATCATTACTCCAGAAAGTTTGTAATCTTTAGTAACATTCTAAATGTCTTTACTGTCACTTTTGATCAATTTAATGCATCCTTGTTGAATAAACGTATTAATTTCTTTCCAAATAAACAAATGAACAAACAGATAAATATCTTACTGACTCCATACGTTTGATCTGTAGTGTATAATGTTACAGAAGCTTTCTACTTCAGATGTGAAAGTGGAAAAACTGGGCTGTTGCTCCACAACGTAAAACAGTGGTAAGAGATGATATGTGTATGCATGTGTTGACTCCTATCAGACTTTCACATATCAAAGACATTTTGTCCAGCTGAAATATTTATTTGATGAAGGTCAAGGGTCAGCCCAATAAAACAGCTTTTCTGTCAGAGATAAGAATGACAACACACTGTATGATAATTATTTCTGATGTGCCGTCACATTATCTGCATTTAGAGGCAATACACAAGCAATACTGCAACATAAAAGACAATGAGCACATGCATTTTACGCATATAGCAATTTGGACCGTACACTGGTCATATGAAGTAAAATCATCACTTGGGTGGTAATAAACTGTATATTTCCCCACCCCCATTCATATCTCTTTATCTCTGTCCATGCTTGTGTAATGAGACATAAATGGCAATGAGACTGTGTAAGGACCATCCGGAGGACAATATGGAAAAGAGCCACCGCACTGTTGTGTTTGGCTTCCAGGACACAAATGCTAGTTTAACATTTAGAGACAAACAGTGAATACCATTCCTTCTAGAGAGAGAGAGAGAGCAGGAGAGCTGGTGATGGCACTGCAGAATTCACTCCATTAGACTCACTGTGCCTCGGTGAATTTGTGCCATTTTGGAAATCACCAAATACACGTGTGCATGCCTAGGCCTGGAGCTTGAACACTCTTTTAGTCATGAACATTTTAGGGTTTTGTAGTTTAGACAACACAAAGTCAGTGTTTTTAATTTGCCGTGGATGGTTGGTTGAGCACTTCTGCAGTGCTGATGAAATATGTCGCAAATTTGACATAAACGCATCTGAAGTATTGCTGTTGATGATATATAAATATGAATTGTAATTATTTTATTGGATATTTTTTTATAATCATATTTGATAGATATTTTAGTTTTTCTGTTGTCTATCAGTAAGATGTGTGTCAAGAAGAACGTGTTAGATATTAACTGCATGTATATTTCACAGTGGGCTGAATTATATGGTTGCTCAGTAGATTTATTCAATAACAAAAAAGCCAGATAAAACTTTTCTGTGCAAGTTAAGTTTCTGAGTTCTACGGCTCACAAGATCCCAGAAACCATTTGATTCTCTTGTCTATATTAGGGCTGTGTTACAGCAGGTTGTGCTTATTTTCAGCACAACATTACTTCACGGTTAAGTGCCTGGAATAGCAAAGGATTTTGTGCCAAGAAATGCTTTAAATGCTTTTTATATCTTAGTTATTGTTCTCTGTACATATCCATTCATTGGCTCAATGCAGATGAGTGCATTCTAGAATTAAATGGATGCAAAAACTAAAACGTTTTTTTTTTATTTACATGCACTTTAATTGCAATGACATAAGCAAAACAAATGGTCTGTTATATATATATATATATATATATATATACACACACACACACACATATATATTTACATTCTAATTCTAAGAGAAAAAACCCCTGACCCTCTAACACTTGCACTCTCTATTCTATTTCTATTTTTACTACTTGTCTTTTTTTATTCTATCTACTTGTTTTCTTTTTATTTATTATATTAAAAAAACCTTGCTATGTGTACTGCGTTAGATTAACCGGGACTTGTCACAGCACTTACATATTATTGCCCTGTAGTTGGTTTTGATTGCTTATATTGTCCTCATTTGTAAGTCATTTTGGAAAAAAGCGTCTGCAAAATGACTAAATGTAAATATATATTCAAACAAATTCTCACTATAAACTAGTTGTTTATTAGCATGCATGTTGGCTGTTTATTACTACTTATAAAGCACATATTAATGCCTTATCCTGCATGATCATATTCACATACCTTAACTTAAAAACTACAATTAGGAGTTTATTGAGACAAGGTCAGACAGCCCCTCTGCAGCTTTCTATTTCCATTGTGGAGAAACAGAAAGTGTTATCAAGCATGCAAGTGTCGCTCTGATCACTTAAAAGCTGGTTCTGTCAGCGTGCTTTGACATGAGTCTGACAGTCCCACACTGAAGAGACTGGTACAGATCCTCCTCGAAGTACATCTGAACAAGACAGCAGAGTCAGGTGGACTGCAGCTCTTCCAGCACAGGCTCACACTAGAAGCCAGCAGGAACGTTGATTCCTTGGAAACTGAGGAAGCAAAAAAAGGCATAAGAAGAGGAGGAGAAGGAGGGAGAGGCGTGGGACCTCCTGTGTGTCAAGTGCACTTCAAGTCCAGGGTTTTGAGCAAACAGAGCGGTGGGGCACTGCCTCCTCGACGGGACCCAGCAGACACCAAGTAAGACAAAAACCTGCTCCAAATCTGTCCTTCAGCAGCTGTCTGTATCTGTCTCTGTCTCTGCTTTCTTTTTCTATCTAATGTTACCTTACAAAAGAAATGTAATAAACATCGGAATACTTTAAATACTTAATACATTATCTTACATATCCAATAGAGTGAATTTTAACAATATGTGACCCTGGAGCACAAGTCTTAAGTCGCTGGGGTATATTTGTAGCAATAGCCAACAATACATTGTATGGGTCAAAATTATAGATTTTTCTTTTATGCCAAAAATCATTAGGATATTAAGTAAAGATCATGTTCCATGAAGATATTTTGTAAATGTCCTACCGTAAATATATCAAAACTTAATTTTTGATTAGTAATATGCATTGCTAAGAACAACTTTAAAGACGATTTTCTCAATATTTTGATTTTTTTGCACCCTCAGATTATTGCACCAAATATTGTCCTATCCTAACAAACCATACATCAATGGAAAGCGTATTCATGCAGCTTTCAGATGATGTATAAATCTCAATTTTGAAAAATTGACACTTATGACTGGTTTTGTGGTCCAGGGTCACAAATGTGCTCACATATTGAAACTCAAGGATTTTTAGGTTTTGCTGTTGGGGCCAGTTACACAAACATAGCCAAATAAGTTTAACCAACTAGCAGTTAGCCGAGGGGAATTCAGTCTTACTTTTCAGATTCAAAAAAAGTTATGACTAAGAAAAGGAATTCGATGACTAACTTTTTAAGACTATAGTTTAAGTAGTTAATGCAACCGGCCCCTGCTGGTCTAATATGCAATTAGAAGCAATGGCATCTACATGTAAAAGGGCAATTAAAAGCACAAAGTGGCTTTAGATCAGTTTTGATTTTTCTCTTAAATTGCTCATCATTTGTCAATACTAGTAATGGTTTGGGAAGGATGAGGCAAGTCATATGCTAAAGCAGCATCAGAGAGATACTTCAATAAGAGTGTGTCCCTGCAGTAGTCCTCAGGCCACAGGTTTGATAGGCACCAGCATGTGTCAGTAGAGATTTGTCATACGATCCCTCAGTGAGAAGACCTGACTCGTTAAATAGTGGACCCCACCTCTCCTCTCTCTCTCTCTCTCTCTCTCTTTCCACCACAGAGCATGACACAGTTTGCACAGATACCCCCTTTAGGGGTTTTATGACGTCTCACAATGTTTGTTCACCTAAAAAGCTTTCAGTAAGTCAGGGTGCTTTGGACTAAGCTGACTGTTAGAAAGCCAAGTGTGAGCATTAGAATTAAAAAAAATTTTTTTTTTTTACAAAGTTAAAAGATAGATTGCCTGGATTTATAACGTAAGTGTGTGCTCATTTTCTAATAATTTGAGGGATGCTTATTTCTTATTTGAGAGCTGCATTTGAATACACTTAAATTTAGAAAATGAACAGTTGTATTCTGATAATAGCATTGGTGATTGAGTTGTGTGAGAAAATTGGATTTGGATGTAAATGATGCAGTTGGAATTGTTTTGATGCTGTCTGATTAATGAGGCAAGATTAGTTGACAATCTTAAATTAGTATATGGTTAAAGCTTTAATGAGTCAGCTAACAATGTTCTTCTGAGGCTTGTGTGATGATGTTTTGATGGATTTATTAAGATGTGCCGAGAAATTCAACACTATAAACTGATAAAAACTAAATGCCACTTCAATAAAAATGTCAAAATTGCTTAATAATACCTTATCTTTTAAAACAATAGCTGGTGTTTATTAATAATGTCAGAGGGAATGTATTAACCATGATTATTATGAGATGATAACACCATGATCCCATGTTGTTAATCTGGTCAATTTCTAAATAATTCCTCCAGTGTTTTGTGGAATTGCATTCTTCATATTTCTCATGCAATTTACTATATTTCCTTGTTCTATATTTACCTTCACAGGACTAAGATGGAGTGAGACAGCTGAAAAAAAAAGCCAACTCTTAAGTGTAAACATAACATAAAAAGAAGGGCGTGTTGATGTTCAAGAAGTGTCTAAAAAAGGTTCACATGGTATGGATTCTGAGTGACAGATTTCAGGACGGACTTCAGATTGCCACAAAAAATAGATTCTGAGAAGAATACGGCTCCTTCAGTGCTCAGAACCACGGTACTGCTTTGAGCAAAACAGAATTTCAAAGTACAGACCGAGTCAAACTTGGAAACAATGGAGCATCTTCCACAGACTAAAGGAAAGGGAGTCTTAATGTTTGCCAAGAGGCGTCAAAGGATGGATGAGCTTTCCGAGGAACAAGAGGGAATGAGACTAAAAGGCTCGCCAGTGCATGCACCTGTTAAGCCTCCTCCGCAGGAACAAAGTACACAAGCCCCTCAAGATATCTATGTAAGGCAACAACAAACATTTCAGCAACAGATGTTACCACAATCAGCAAACAGTATGAATGGTCACCAAGGTTCGGCCGTTCCCAGATCCCTCGTCTCCAACAGAACTGCGAAGCCCTTCACGGGTGGCCATAATCAAGGACAAAAAAGTTTTTCACCAGTCAAAGGCGTCTCAAGCCCAACACCTAAGAAACCTGAAAACATATTCAAGGTTCCCGTTCCAGTAAACACAACGCCACAGGTCTGGTCCCCCACCTCAGACATCATTGCTTCACGTGACGAACGTATCACCATACCTGCAATTAAAACAGGGATCCTGCCAGAAACTAAACGGAGAGGAGCAAACAAGACAGACTCGAAAGAGATGCCTCCGCTTCAGAAAAAAGGCAAGCAGAAGTCCTTAACAGAGTCTGTTGCAGAAGACGACTTTCTCAGTCTGGGTGCTGAAGCATGCAATTTCATGCAAGCTCCGAGGATCAAGCAGAAAAACCCTCCACCTGTCCTACCCAAACCTGTTATCAACCCAGCTCGCCCTCCTTGGTCCGCAGAGCGCTTTCAGAGTCCCCTTGCACCATCAAGTTCAGTTCCAGCTATGGGACACACCCAGGTGCATGCAGTACCCCAACAAAGCCCACCAAACCTCTACCAATCAGCCTGGACTCCAGAACCGAGTCATGCACAACACACACCAGCTTCACTGCGTGCTGGTCAGTCCAAAACGTCACGGATTAGCTCACAAAATGATGGTAACTCTGTTGCTTCCTGCCCACCTCAACACCTAAACACATACGTTCAGGCATCTAAATCATTTCCTAAAGGTTATTCATCAGATGCAGGTGCTTCTGAGGGGCTGAACCTTAAAGGAAAAGGAGCTGAACTGTTTGCTCGGAGACAGTCCCGTATGGACAAATTCGTGGTGGATGATGAGACCGTGCGAGCCAGCAAGGCCAGATCCTCCTCGCCGACGCTTTCAATGCCAAGCACCCGGAAACACTCTTCTAACGTCCGTGCCCGACCTCCTGTATCCTACAATCCTATTTTGTCTCCTTTTTATCCCCTTGCAGCGGTCAAACAACCCCCTCCTGCAACTAGTTCAAAGATGAAGCCTAAAGCAAACAAGGAGAAGACGAATCCGCCACCCAAGCATCTCAATGTTCTGGATGTCATGAAACATCAGCCTTACCAGCTGAATTCCTCGCTTTTCACCTACAACACAGAGTCTAAGCAGACTTCTGCTCAAACCCCTGCCAGTTTTCAACCCCAGTCCCTTGCTTGTGAGCCATTGGCAGCGCTCTCTCGCTCCCTAAATAGTTCGCAGTCAGTTAAGCAAAATCTGGTAAGTGTGTCTTACCCCTATGTCCCTCAGTCTGCATCAAATGAGGCCACCATTACTCCACAACAGTCACATGCCAAACAACTAACCATGCGCGATAGCTACAGAAACAAAGGCCTCTCAAATGCCTGCATGCCTTCTGCAAGCGCTGAAGTCAATGTCTGTGTAGGGTCCTCTTTACCCGTGAATAATGAATACGCTTCACGGTGTGCAATACCAGTGGCTCCAAGACCAAAGTTTTCGGCCAAAAAAACAAACACTGGAGGCAAGCAATGGAAACCAGTCATTATGCAGCGTTAACTGAGTTTTAAAGGGATTATGGCATGCTTTTTACATCATGTTTCTTGGGTAACACTTTAGATTAGGGAACACATATTCACGACTGACTAAGAGTCGTGTAGATGCCTCATTTGCTGCTTATTGATAGTAAGTAAGGTAGTTGTTGTAGTAGTTCTGTTTAGCTATGGGGGATCTAGACTGTGGTCATGCATTAATATGTGCTTTAAAAGTACTAATAAACAGCCAATATGCAAGTAACATGCATGCTGGTAAGCAACGAGTCAACAGCAAATAGTGTTCACTAATCTAAAGTGTTACTTGAGATTCACTTATAATGTTAGTAAAGTTTTTTTTGCACAAACAACAGTATATATGCAAAACGAGTTGTTTTGGCAGATTGAAAAAGTGCTGTTTTTGAACATTTTTATAGCGCTATCACCACTAATATATCAAAAGATCAAAGAAAAAGTGTTTCCTCATTCGTTCTAGATCAATGCACAAGATACGATTTCCATGCATTATATAAGAGTTCTACAATTTATACCATAAGTTAATTTCATTATTTCAGAATTATTTCAATGTGATATGTTTCCACATTAATGACAGTTATTTTGTGTGTTTTTTTTTAGAAAAAATCTGTTTGACATTTTCTGTTTTTTGTGTCAAGCAACACAACACATTCACTATATTATGCCAAGTGGGCCTGGATGATAAACTTGCGATTTTTGTCAGGCACATTGTCTAAGCAACAATTAAATAATTTGTGTTAAATGCATTAAATGCTAGAGTTTCAGATCAATATACTAGATCTCCCCTCGGATTGAGCCTCCTTTGCAATTCTGTCAGACCTCCAGATCAGTTGTTGTTAGTTGAGGAAAACCTTTCACAGATGGTTTAAAGACATAGTTATATTTTTTTCTTGTGGATATTCTCTTTTGGGCATTTCAAGTTAATCTAAAAATATAATTCAGAATACTTCATTCGTATTATGTGCTGTTCAGATACAGTGAACAAAGGAATAAACTGGAAACAAAGTAACTTTCGTTACTTATTTGAAAAAGTAACTCCGATATTCTCTTGTAAATTAAAAAGTAATGTGTTACTTCACTAGTTACTTGAAAAAAGTAATCTGATTACGTAACTCGCGTTACTTGTAATGCGTTACCCCCAACACTGACGACGGGTGTACAGAATACTCTTAGCATTTTAATTTGTACTCATTCAAATATCATTCTGAACTATGTTACTTCTGTTCTTCTTTCCTCTTGTCTTTTAGAAACTATTGCACTTCTCTTTAATAAATATTCCCATCAGCTCTGTCTCACTTCATGCTTTCTGTGCTCTCTTTTCTGTATTTTTCCTGCATTTTACCAATTGCACTTTCTTGTATTTCCATGTTACTAATGCTACTCTTTCTGCTTTCTCTCTGGTAAAGTTCAACAAAAACCAGTCCATACATGGAAAAATGCACTATATTTTCCATCAGTGTAATAAAAATACACCTTGGGTCAATACTACATAACACAGAAGACTTTAAACAAACTCAGATGATGAGATATCTTAATTTTTAAAAACAGTTCTGTCAGATTAGTTCTGTTCTTCTCAGATTGTTGATATACTCTTGCAGTGGGTTGTGGGCTGTGTTTCTCTTAACTCTGCACATAGCTCATTATATAAATAGCTCTTGCTCCACCATGTTTGAAACACACAAACCCTATTAAGACACCACTTCTGCTTAGAAATCTGATAGGTCTTACACTTCTGAACTAGTCAAGTGCCTTTAACCAGAGGTAAGTGCCGAAATATCCCCCAACTCAACTCCAAGCTGCTAGAAAAATCATGTTTTAATAACAACTCTTGAGGACAGCAGTATTGTCTGACAGAGGTGATAATTAGACACACAGGTTGCAACTTCTGAAGCAATCATTTGGAAACCTTCCCAAACTGAGAAACTTCTCCCGAACGTCTCTCTTATCAATGCCATTTTAGCAGGAGTCTAGCTTTCATGTCTCGGAGTTCGAAGAGTGCAACTGCTCCGAAAATTTTTTTGATCGTATCTAATTATAACCCAGAATTAATCCTGTGCCAACCAACCCTGACCTCCCCTGAACCAAAATTAGCAATGTCTCTAAATAGCATTTACAGGCATCGTCCAGAAGAGGGCAGTCTAAATTTTCATTTATTTGTGTGAAGTAAAAAGTATTGTGAGAAACACAACAGCCACAAGAGCTTCTTTGTGTTGCAAACTAAAACTTGTGATTATTTGCTTGTGAGACTGTTCAAAGTGTGCATGCTTATCTTTCTTTCTCTGTGTAGGGATTCAGCAGGAGCCGCTCCTTGTCTTTCCCTCAGAGACTGTCCGCTGTGTCTCCCGCTTCTCCTGTGTCCACCCCAGGTGTCCTTTCAACACGTGAATCACTGAGCAGGCAATATTCGTGGGTGGAACAGCCCTCCGAGGCGGTTTCTCAAAGCTCCTTTGGTCCTGAAGAGTCCAAAATCTCTGCTACTCATAGAAAATCACTACCAGAAACGGCAGCAGAATGGAAGCAAAGAGTGTTGTACGAGTCTTCCGGTGGCCCTCAAGAGATGGGGCCCGTAATAGCTGTTACATCCCCTGCCAACAGCTTTACTTCAGCGCTTTTCCATACTTCACAGCCTCCGGTGACCAGCGAAAGGTACAGCAGGGGTAGTTCTCTGCCTCATCATATCACACTTCACACAAACTTTCCACAGTCGCAAAGAGTCAGTTGGAAACTTAAATCAAATTAGTATTTTGATTGATCAAATTAAGTCATAGTGTGTGTGTGTGTGTGTGTGTGTGTGTGTGTACATATGCGCACACCGAAAGTTTGGGATCAGTAGGATGTTTCTTAAAGTCGCTTATGCTCATCAAGGCTGCATTTATTTAATAAAAATACAGAAAAAATACAGTAAAATGTGAAATATTATTATAGATTTAAACTGTTTTTTTATTGTTGGCTATTGCTACAAATATACCCCAGCGACTTAACACTGCTTTTGTGCTCCGGGGTCACAAATGCTGATTTATTATCAGTATTGAAAAGAGTTTTTGCTGCTTCCTATTTCATGATTCTTTGATGAATAAAAAGTTAAAAAGAAACATAAAGGGGCTTTGTACATAAGCCTCACTGCCAACAGCCACAGCAATTTTCCAGTCAAGTTTATTTGTCTGTGAATGCCGATTAAAAACAAGATGAAAGGAATCGTTCACCCTTAACATGAAAAATCTTTCGTTTTCCACTCCAGTTGCTGTGAAGCTCCAAGAGGCCGAAAATAACCTTAAAAAATAAAATTTTTAAGCACTGAATGACAGAAGACACCAGATTTAACAAAAATAGCACTTTAGGGAAACTGAGCATTACTTGTATAGATATTTTAACGCTAGACTCGCTATATACATGTGTGTACATATTCAGTCAAATCTGGACTGAGTGGGTGTGGAATGAAACTCTGATGAAGAATGAAGTTTACAGTATGTTGTTGGCCTAACATTCTAGCATTTTAATTAAGTTTACTTATTTTAATATATCTTAATATTATTAAATAACTTTTAGCAGACCCCTTGAAAGTTTGCTGAGGCCCTCTTGTTGAGAACCGATTATTAATGAAAAAGCGCTCATTATAGTGTATTTATACAGTATTATTATATTCATACACATTACACATTCTACACTACCTGAGCACAATTAGTTTTTCTTTGGTGGAGTAGATTAGTTGTATTTGTGTAACCGTGAACAATTAATCTATTTAGTTGTGACAAACGCAGTCAGTATGCAACAGTGATTACTCTGAACTACTGTGATTTAGATCACTCCCGAACAACATGTTTCAATAAATCATTATTATTTTTAAACTTATCAGAAATGATGGAAGTGTGATCTTTTCACTGTGTTGCCTTTGAGTCTCTGATTATGTTTTTATCTCTGATAGTGTGACTTGATCATTATGTTTCTGGACTCTCACTTGATAGTTCATCTTAATATTGTATTGCTGTTTGTGGCGTTCTCAGTCACACGATTCTTTATTGTTCAATGTGTAAATGTTTATTTCTTTACCGTGTAAGTCAATGTGTGAATCGATCTAATCTAATACTAACTCTAGACACATCACAGATTATTATTTCTATCTGAATGAACCTCAGCACCCAGCATACACATTCTATATTTTAGAAAGCTTGATAATCCTTTTGAAATCCAAACCACAAACAATCTGAAAGTCTCTCATCTATCATAACATTCATCAAGCTGTTCCCTAAAGAGAGTTTTATTAATGCATGATGACTGAAAAATCTGTCACTGTTGTATATACCAATGTTTACTATAGTATACTACCATTTGATTCTATCAGATCTTTTTAAAAACAATAAATCTGCAAAATGGATTATTTAGATTTTCTCCTGGAGCAGACAAGGATCTCATCAGGATGATGTGTTATGTAACGAGACATTTCCCATACTTGTGTACGGAAAGAGAAATAGTGGGGTTTAAGCCTTAAAGGTCCCATATTGTCAAAACTGAAATTTCCTGGCTTTTTTCATGATAACTGAGGTCTAGGTGCTATGTAACTACCATATAAGTTTCAAAACTGTCAGTCCACAGTAAAATGCACACAGCCTGCTTAAAGTTCTTGTGATTTTTCACTAACCGTTGTGACTTCCGTAAAAAGTTGACGTCAGAACTACACAGTCACCGTCATCAGTCACCACCCCGAGCACCGCCCACCGTCCCACTCTCCTTTAGCCAAACCCCCAGACAACATCTGTCCATGCCATTGCTGAGCAACAACAACACGGATACATGTCGAAAAGGTTAACTTTAACCACGAAACCAGATCGGCTGGCCTGTAACATTATACTTTCACTCAAAGGATGGACGATCTGACAGGATTGTTACTATGAGGTGGATCACATCTAACGTGTATAGTAAAGACAAACTCACCGTGTCTATCTAGTCATGATGAAGATGTATATACATTTCAACTTCAGCAGGCAAATATTTTTACGGCTACATTATTGTTCCAGCCACAATAAATCACAACAATGTATATACAATTACAAATGATTATATATAAATCATCAGTTTGTTGTTTTACACACATGCACACAAGACATTATTTCATACACGACATAATCGTGAGATGCAAGAAACATAGACATATGGCAAGAAATCTGTAGACGCGCCCATAACAACAAAAGACAATACTTTATTGAACCTTTTCTGATAAGAAGTGTGCACTGCAAACGCGAGCATTTTTGACGATCGTTTCTGTCCAGTCTGCTCGTTTTATCGCATTTAACCACAGCTGTCGTCGTTTTTTGTCTGGCAGTGGCAGCAGATATGCGATCAAATTTCTAATTTGAGGCTGTATTACGTCGATTCTGGCACCCAACATCACAACAAGATGATATTTTAAGCTCCTTATGTAGCCGAACCTGCGCTGGTTTGAATGGGCCGCCTCCAGTTTCCCCTTTGTTTTGCTGCCTCCAGCTAGCGCTGTGACGTCGGCTGACCCTAGTTACCTGTGGTTGGCCTGGCCGTGCGTCACTCAGAAAACAACAGGCCAATCAGAAGAGAGGCTCATGAATATTAATTAGACAGGCCAAAGTCGACCTGTTCTCAGCAGAGCTCCTGAGAGAGGAGCTGTAAAAATATATTGAGATGGTTTTTGGTACTTATACCGCAAATATATATTCTTAAGGACATCAAAACCTAAAATAAAACTCCAGAAAGGTGTACAATATGTGACCTTTAAATGACCCAGCCTGTGAAGCGTACAATTGCACACACAAAGTACTCGCTCTCAGACTTTGCACACTTTATTCTCATGCATACAGACAGTTCTCCCTCCCTCCCCCCTCCGTACCATCTTATAGCATTGTGAGAGGTTTGAGAGCTGAACACAGCTAAAATTAGCCTATTGATGTAAGCCGGTGTTCCACTAACACCCGCACACACCCCAGTGCAAGTCAATAAGAGTGCGAGACAAGGACAAATCAGGCCGGATCGATCTACCTAAAGTAACCTCTTCCTCTGTACAGGTAGAACTCAAGACACACGCCGATCTAACAGGTAAGACCACGGCCTTCCTTGAGAGACTGAGTGCAGTGTGGGCATAAAGATAACGATAACAATGTTGGGGGTTGTGGACACTTAAACTGCGATAACAAAACCTAGATACACAGAGATGTGTTTTAGATCGCATGATGGATAAATGTGCACATGATAATGGAAAGATGACTAAAACAGAAGCCCTAACAAAAGAACATTAAACTGAAAATGATAGTTTAGGAATCTCTTTCTGATCTGATTTTTTTTTATTGTGACAGCAATACAAGTAGATACTGATAATATTGTGTTACCATTAAAAAACTAGAATACCAGTTTATCTACACAAGCATTGCTAGCAATGTTACCAAACAAGAGAATTCAGAGATCGACCTTTTTGAATTTTTCAATGAGAGCAGCTAGTTAAGGATGGAATGGCAAGGCCGTGTGAATTGTGCAAAGAAAGTTTCTTTTGGCTTTGATCAGCCTCAGTAACCCAATCTACACCCTGGACAAAATGTTCTGTCACCAGCTCATGCTTCATGACATATGTGACCCCGGAGCACAAAAGCAGTGTTAAGTCGCTGGGGTATATTTGTAGCAATAGCCAACAATACATTGTATGGGTCAAAATTATACATTTTTCTTTTATGCCAAAAATCATTAGGATATTAAGTAAAGATCATGTTCCATGAAGATATTTTGTAAATGTCCTACCGTAAATATATCAAAACTTAATTTTTGATCAGTAATATGCATTGCTAAGAACTTCATTTGAACAACTTTAAAGATGATTTTCTCAATATTTAGATTTTTTTGCACCCTCAGATTCCAGATTTTCAAATAGTTGTATCTCAGCCAAATATTGTCCTATCATAACAAACCATACATCAAAGGAAAGCTATTTATTCAGCTTTCATGTGATGCATAAATCTCAATTTTGAAAAATTGACACTTAAGACTAGTTTTGTGGTTCAGGGTCACTTATGTATCCTTATTTTATAACTCTCATTATCTCACATGATCCTATAAATTGACTTTCGATCGTTCTACTACAAGTATCTGTGTCCTTTATGTATTGCAGCACTACTGGGATTCTCATTTAACCCAACATGTCACAGTTCAGCAGTCTTTCAGTGCGTGAGAGGACGAAGCAGGCAGCTGCTCTTTGCTATGAGGTCCATGGTGGTGCCAACGGTATAACCTTCTGCCAAAACCTGCTCTCACATCAGCACTGAATGATTACAGAGAGAAACGCCAGCGTTTAGAACGTGGTTCAGGGCCACAGCCTCGTTCTAGCCATAAATAATCTGGCGTGGATGTTCGTCTGCCTGTAGCGGTGGATTCACTCTGTTATTGTCACAGGCTATTTCTGCAGAGGCTAAAGGACAGCTGTGCTGGAGCCGAAATGAGAACAGAATAAAGATCATGGAGAACAAGAGAGCTTCTCCTGTTTAAACAAGCACTGAACCCTTTTAGATTAAGTACAGTTTTAAACGCTTTAAGTAACAATTTATATTGAGACATCGAGTAAACATTAATGACGCCAAAAATGAACGCTTTCTATTCTAAATATCAAGTTATGTTTGGAATCTGGTCTTGGAAACGTACAGAATAACGTCATGGGCATAGCTGAAAAGCTCCTGCAGCAATAGCGTGACATGCACCCTTTAATAAAACATTCATAACCATCATATTTAACCTTTTAATAATGAATTCACCAGTTTCTATTAAGGTTGAATGATTTGTCATGTGACCTTTCATAGAATGTGTGTCTAACACAGGAATCCAGACTATAAACTTTTGTACTTTTGGTTTCTTTATGATATGATATGTTGTGTGAATAAATTAAATTACTGTATGTGTTCAAATATGAATCATATGAAGCATCAATAAAAGTTTACTTCATAATAACTTTCATACCACTCACTGTAATAATATTATATATATCTTACAAGGAAGAAAACAAGAGCATGAATTAATTAAGATCTATTTTAAATTTGTCCTTCAATACAAATACATTGTTTCTGTTCTTGCACTCCGACACAGATATATCATCACCGAGTGGCATAAGAACAGCCATATTCCACCTGAACAATACATAACATCTCATGACTGTACACCTGTAAAATAGCATGTGTGCATATTCATAACACTGTCTATTTTCTCTATATTTTGCACATAACTTCTCAAAACATTTGCACATTCATAATTCCGTCTATTTTCTCTAGGCTATATTTTTTTATCATCATATAGCTATTATTTTGTTTTAATTTATTGTCTATTCTCTTTATTATTAGTGTTATATTTCATTTTATTACCTTAAATTATATGTATATCTGCACTTTGTCTGTACTTGTTTCCACTGGAAGCTCCTGACACCAAGACGAATTCCTTGTGTGTGTATGTGTGTGTGTATGTATGTATGTGTGTGTGTGTCTGTATGTGAGAGTGTGTGTGTGTGTGTGTGTGTGTGTATGTGTATAAACACAGCTCTTTCTGATTCTGACATTTAAAACACATTTTGAGGTCTAGAAGCGATTGGTACAGTAAAAAGTGCTCAAATTTTTGGATTTCGATAGGACAATATGTATATATATATTGTCCCACATAAAACTTTTAAATATATAGGAGCCATGTATTTTATCATGTATTATTAAGTTATTATAAAGCATTATCCAAGGTTTTATAAATGGCTCTGTTGAATTATTCTGTAATAACACAAATGGTGTGGTATTAATGCAGGTGTTACGATGGACCTAGGAAAGAAACTTTCCACTCCAAAAGACATCATGCTGGAGGAACTCTCTCTCCTCTCAAACCGAGGGTCGCGCCTTTTTAAGATGCGACGGCGGAGATCAGAGAAATACACGTTTGAAAGCATTCAGAATGAAGCCAATGCCATGTTTAATGTAAGTAGCATCTACACAGATACACTGGCTTGAGCATACATATTGTGCATAACAAACCATGATATGGCAGCACAAAAGATGCAAATCAATGCAATACATATTGTGGCGCTGATAATACCAATAATATCTAACCTTTCTTCTGACGTGATAAAGGCTCAGATATCTGATTTGATGTTGAACTTGACACTTAACCACTGACGCTGAGCCTAGTAAGACTAAACTGTTATATAATTGTGATTTGCTCGTTTGAACTACTGTACGTGTGGTTACTTTGTAAAGCAAGCATGTGCTCAGCTGAATGAATGAATGGCAGCCACACATGGATGATAGCACATGCCACGTGCCTGTGTCCTTCTGAATGTTCCTTCTTTAGGATCCTACTTCATTTATCACTGTTCAAGTGTGTGTGTCTCTCTCTGTATAGAAACTAATTTCAATAAGAAATTGCTGTTGCACTTTATTTTACACTACGTGCACTAACAGTGTAAGAGAGTACTGATAACATAAGGTAACTACATGGGGTAGGGTTATGTTTAGGGGTAGGCTTAGGGTTAGTACCTAATTACTATAATAAGTACATTGTATGTGCAAGCAGAGCGGGACTGAAAAAAAAAGTGTGTTACACTTTATTTGAAGGTGTCCTTGTTACAATGTAACTATACATTTAAGTACTGAGTAATATTAATTAACTACATGTACTTACTATTGTGATAACAATTAATTAGGCATAATTACATGCAAGTAACCCTAAACCAAACCCTCATCCTAACCATAAGTACATGTAGTTACTTAATAGTTCTTAAATGTAAAATTACACTGTAACAAGGACACCTTAAAATAAAGTGTAACCGAATACGGTTACATTTAGTTTCATTTTAATTTGAGAAAAATCAAATATAATGTTCTTTAAGGTCATGTTGGTTTATTTTAAAGCTATCATACAGTATTTATCATCAAATATAGTTTAATGATAGTTAACATAGTTATTTTTTTATGCGTGGTACACTGTTGAACATAATAAAGTTGTTCAAGTGGATTTATTCAGTCCAGTAATAATGTATCTGCACAACACAGCACCATCCTGAGGAGATAAACAGGAGGTGCAAGTCTCAATATCCATATATCCAATAATTCATATCTGACAAACGTGTTAAAACTCAGGGTGTTTTTTCAAACTTTTTTTTTTAGAATATATAGCCTATATATGCAGTCAAACCAAACTGTATTCAGTCACCTTCAACATTTCTCACATTATCACAGTTTATTCGCTATAGTTTAGAAAATGGTAATAAAATATGACAACACACACACACACACA